CTATATTTTGGCCAAGGAAGTTTCCTTTACTCGCCGTGTCTAGAAGCATGTGAATCTTGGGAAGTGCTCCTCTATAGATTGTGCTCAATAGTGTCTCTTCACTGAACCCATGATGAGGACAAGCAATGGTGTAGTCCTTGAACCACTCCATTGCTTCACTAAAGGACTCATTCTGCCTTTGTGTAAAATCGTTGATCTCACTTCTTAGCCGAGCTGTCCTTGTGCTTGAGAAGAACTTAGACAGAAATGCCTTCTTGCAATCAGCCCATGATGTTATAGTACCTTGAGGTAAGGTCTTCTCCCAATGTCTTGCTTTATCTCCAAGGGAAAAAGGGAAAAGCCTTAGCTTGAAGCTGTCCTCCGAGATTCCATTGATCTTGATCATTCCACAAACTTGCTCAAAGTTTTCCAAGTGCTCCAAAGGATCTTCCATAGCAAGGCCATGAAACTTGTTGTTCGGAACCATTGAGACAAAGACTGGCTTGATCTCAAAGTTGTTGTTTTGCACCGGTGGAGGAGTGATGCCAAAACGGTTGTGATGAGTGTTTGGAGCATCACCAGCACCGATGATCCTTGGTGGTCTTTGAGCGTGGTGGCGGTTTCCATTACCCCTACCAGCCTCAGCTTGGTCTTGTTCAGCCATACTCTCAAAATCAACAGCACCAGCTTGCACTATCTCCTCAAAGGCTTGTGCTTGTTCTACTGCCCTTCTTGCTCTTGCACTTCCAAGTTGATGAATGTTGTCTAGAGGTTGTAGTAGATTGTTGTCACCTCTAGACCTCAGATTCATGTACATGAGAAAGAAAGTGTGAAGGTAGAGAGATTAGTAACCAAAGTAAAAATAAAAACTTAGTCTCTACTAAGCTCCAAATCCTAATACTTTCAAGCTAAACCCAAGTTGGCAACAGCGCCATTTGATAAACAAATTTTGTTTGGGATTGTTTTTATCAAAACCAAAAGCAAGTTATAGTTGTATTATAGTTGCTTAAGGTGTCAATCCAGACTAGGTTGATGAAAGCCACTAGGAATGCAAGAGCAATGCAAGGCTAAGCAGATTCGGGTAAATGGATGAGAAATTCTATGAAAACTAAATGCAAGTGCTAAATGACCACAAAAACTATTTTAGAAATCCCTCTTAAGGGTTAAACAACTAGCAGATGACTTCTAGGAATTTAAAATGCAAGACTACTAATTTATAAAAATTGAAAACTAAAGGCAGATAAACAGAGAAATTGCTAACAACATAGAACAATGATTTTCAAGACTAAAGATGCAAACTTTATGACTAGGAAATGATAACTTTGAGTTTTTAAATGCTAAAAGAGGATTCAAGGTTGAGGGTCATGTTAAGAGGGTTCAAGACTCAAGCTTGGGTTTTGAAAACATTAGATCTACACATTTTGTGCTATCTCTAAGCCATGAGAAGCTAAAAGAGGTTTATCCATGGCGTGTGGTATAAACCCTTTCCTCAACCCTTCCTCCAAATCTATGTCGTGTGGTGGAAAGATGGGTCAAAGAACATTAAGCATAGATCTCAAATAATGGCCTAACTAGCTCCCTAAGCATCCATGGCGTTTGGAAAAGGATGAGCTAGCCTCTTGGATTTGGTTTTAAGGGACTCCTGAATCCTGTCAAGGTAAGAAGATCCCTGAGATCATAAAGATCTTTCACAAGACTCTCTAAGCATTGAGAGCCGAAATCCAAGAAGTAAATAGATTAAGAACAAGAAAAGTCCCAAGCTTAAACCCTTTAAACCCTTCTTAATCGCCCTAACCTTAAACCCAAAGGAAACTACTCGCTACACATGATTAAAACCGATGAAAATGCAAAGGAAAGGAAGCTAAGCATGATTAAGCAAGAAAGATTAAAGAAAATACTTAGATTAAGCAAAATTAAGGTTCAACAAAATGTAAAAAGCTTGAAAAATAAAACAATGGCGATTTTTCAGCCTTAGAGCATAAGAAAACATAAACTGGTCCGAGACAAAATGAATGGTTCACACCATATTGCCTAAAATAGCCAAACAAAGAAAATGGTCCCCTCACTACATGCCAAAAGTGATCTGTCTGGATAGGGTTCTAGAGATCGACTTGGGTGATCGATCTCTAGCTCGATCTTCTTCATGTATCGTCCTCCTCTGCTCGACCTTCGGGTCGATTCGGTTGGGTGGATCGAGTGCTTCCTTCAATCTTCTACTCGATCCTTGGGTGATCTAGTCGTGAGCTCGATCTGGCTCTCGTTCTGCATGGCTTAGTCCACGTACGTACTCACAATCGATCACCTTGGTCGATCTTGGTCTCGATCCTCCTTCTTGAAACGACTTGAGTCACTCGATCTTCTGGTCGATCTCATATAGATCGACCTGCCTAGCTCAATCCGCACCTCGATCCCGGTTCCTTTTCTGAATGGCTGAGTTCTTTCAAGTGTCCACAGACTCCCTCTCGATCCTTAGCATGTCCACGCAACCTCCATGGCTCCAGAGTATCCAAAACAACCTGAATATGATGCAAGAATGCAAGAAATATGCAAATGCTAATGCAAAGTGCACTTAGGACCTAAAATGAGACAAATGGTGCAAACCTAGCCTATTATGTAAGATGAATGCATGAAAACTACTCTAAATGCATGTTAAATATGCGAAATATATGAGTATATTATTTAACCTGATATTGGTTGATGACAAGGTAAGTGATTGTTTTCGCGCGCAGTTATTATATATGTTCATGTGGTTATCTGGAGATGGTTACTAAAAAAAATATTATTTGTCGTGATTTTGTAGGGTGATAAAATTCATGCAGTATTATGCGAATATATAACATGTATATTCGTATCGCAGATTCGTGAGGGTGATTCGATTCTGCTGTGTGATTTTGAACTCCTATTGTTGGAGAGTTTCGACCAAGTATGCACGATATTATGATCAATTTTCAGCCACGTACGGTATTTGTTAAGACTCCTCCCGCCAAAATTACTAGTCGTTTTTCTTTCGTGGATATCAAAGCCATTAAAGATGGACATATATATCCCAATGTCTGTGTTGGTGAGTTTATTGGTTGTGTTTAGCTTTGATTGGCTAAACTAAATTATTCATATAGTGTTTATGTTTCAGACGTAATCGGTTGAGTTGTTAATGTTGGGAATTTTAGAGGACTTCATGCGCTTGATTTTCGTAAGCGAACAGATATAACTTTTGAACTTGTGGATGAACAGTATGTTTTTCTAGCTTTAATTGGTGCATGTTGATATGATGCATTTAATACCCTTGAGTAATAATGAGCTATGGATCTATTACATTGGTAACAGTGGTTCGCGAGTTCTAGTACTTTTGAAAAATGAATATTCAGAGGATTTTCTCGAAGCTTGATCGTCATGCAATCAGCAGTTAGCTATTTGTATAATGAGGTTTGTATCGATTGTTCGAATAAATGGTTATTAGAAAGTAGAAACCATTTTCAAATGTGCACAAGTTTTATTGGATCCTCCATTTGTAGAAGCAAAAAGTCGTCGTGACGTAATGGGTGATAATAACATTTAGTTATTAGTATGACTAATATATTTATGGCTGATTATTACTTGATCGTTTATAAAAGCATTTTTGTTTTTTTGTTTCTGGACATTGTTAATTATTTTTGATTTATTTAATGGAATTTTTTTCATGATAGTTTACGATTCGCACAGGCTGTGTGGACAAACCACCTAATTAGAGTAAAACACTTTTTCATATTATTTTTTTTTATTTTCAGGAAAAAAACGAAGGAGATATTTTTAAAAAGTAATATAGTAAATAAAAATAAATAAACGTTATTGTAAATGGAAAACTAGGGCGAGATTTTAAATAGAGTTCTCACTAATTTCTCATAAGTTGTTTTTAGGTATTATTTTTGGTATGATTTTATGAAGGAGTAAAACCATGTATATATAAAATATTTTGTTTGGATAAAACAATTCAATTGGCATATTACGATCTGGTGTTCTCCAGTTTTAAATTTAACGAAATTGATTACTTATTTCCATGGTGACAGTAAATCAGGTTATCAGATAATTTCTTCCACTTATATTGTCGCATCTCATTAAATAGACTGATTATTTAGGACTTTTGCTTTTAAATTTTTTAAAGTAATCGACTGTAAAAATTTGGACTGTAATTTTATTGATTGTAACTTTTTTTTTAAAGAAAAAATCTTAAATTTTATTTTTTGCATTTTACAAATAGTGTCATTTTAAAGTTTTATTCTTGTTTTACAAAATGTATAATTTTGATATTTTCAATGTAGAATTTTAAACAAAAATCCATATTTAACCTTATTGTTTCAAATATTAATTAGAGAGAAAAATGTATTTAGTGTATAAAATGGTAAAATAGAGTTTTTAATTGATTTTTTAATATATGTGAAAGACTCTCAAATAATTTTTTTTATGAAACAAAGGGAATAGATTTTAAAAGCAAACAAACAAACTTGAAAAAAGAGGAAGTTAAAGGTTGTGACATGAAAAATCAAATAATAGTGTTTTTACTAGGAATTATGAGAGAATTTTTTTTTGTGCGAAATTGTGAGAGATTTTAGAAAAAGAAAAATGTGATTAATAAAATAATTAACTATAAAAACTGTAAATCATTTTAAAATCTTTACAGTCTTAAATGTTTAATCCCAAATCAGCACATGTCTCCAATGAAAATGAAAAGCTTTTACCAACTCATAGGTAATTTTCTCCGGTAAAAATTCCTCCAGATAATGTTCAATTGGATTATAAACATTAATTCGATAGAATATTATCTAATTGAAACCACTTTTTGTTGTTAGAGACATGTAATGAAAGTATTCAGATTTGTTATATCTTCCTTTTTATTCAGTAATGAAATACAAAGAAAATCTTAGCATAAAAAGATTCCGCGATACATATAAAACTAGAAAACAAAACATGAGGTTCTGTTACAAGCAAACTAAATTACCAAAGATAACAAAAAAAAAAGAAAGTTCAAATCTTTTACATCTCAACAGTCACAGATCATCAATAACCTCAAGAAGCTGTGACGGTGTCGCTGCTGGGTCGAGCTGTCTGCAACCTTTGGGTGCACCAGGTGCTTCTTGACCTGTGAGCAAGTACGAAGGTATCTGGTGAGAGAACCTCGAAATCTCATCCCTTGAGATCCTTCTGCTCATTTTATGATCCACGTGATGATGAAACACAGCCTTGAAACCAGCAACTTTAATCAGAGGAACCACTGATACACCATATTCCTCTGTATATTCTTCAAAAATTTCGACCACATCGTACTCGATTGCTTCAGCTCCTGTAAGATAGTTCCATTCAGGTGACCAGTTTCGATACATAGCCCAAACCTCGCCCCTTCTTGGATACACAAGAAACTCTCCTTGACTCCCTTTGATCGTCTCCACTTTGTGTGAGAAAATGTAAGGTGACTTGCAGATTTGGGTTTCGGCAACTCGAAAATCTCCACAAGTTCTCGAAACACCAGAGCCAAGCCAGTCCGTTGATCTAACCCCACTGCTGACCTCTGAAGTAAGCCGTGAGATGCGCACTCTGAATGGCTCTACAGAGAGAACCTTCTCTATCAAGACAAAGGATCTGGGCATCCCATCTAGAGGGTCGTACAAAGCCCAGACCTCGTTGTCCACAAACGACTTCTCAGTTCGATCTTTATCGAAGTCGCAAAAGTCAGGTTTAGGAACCCACACCATCAAGGATGTACCAACGATCTCCGGAGAACCTACATTGGCCTGAGCGAGATCATCGGTTTCCATTCGACTTCCGTTCGACTCAGTTCCGCTTTTAGCCAGTAGTTCTTGCAGTTTCTTGTTGATTAGAGGCTTAACTTTTTTCTTCAAGAGAGACTTTATCTCATCCTCGGTAAACTCTTTTGAAGTGTAGGGCTTTGGAGGTAAACAGCTTCCAATGTTGGAGCCAGCAGCTGAATTCTCCACACACTTTCTTCGTTTCGGATGATTTGTAGCCGGAGCACCACCAGCAGCAGCTCTTTTGGTATACTCTCTACGCACAACAGGCTCTTCTTTTCGTGGCCCGGTCTGTGGAGCATGAGTAGGAGCTTTGGTTCCAGTGTACGCACCACTCCACTCAAAGGACTCATATTCACCATACACACCATTACTCTCTACTCTACTCTTCTTTCTTGCGTCAGTCGTCTGACGGATAGAGTCAAACTGATGCTCGTGAAAGGTCTTGCGGATCGAACCTGAACCCGGAGGATCAGTTTCCACAGCTATAAACGGCTTACGACAGTTGGGACACAGAAGGTTCTGGTTTAGGTACACACGATGATACTCATACTGTGTCCTGCAAGTGCGGCAAACAGTCCAAAAGGTTCCATCAGAAGTTGGTTTATGGACTACAGTAGAAGCAGCAGCAGCAGAAACAGAAGCAGAAGCAGAGGCATCACTTGCTCGCTTAACACCTCTCTTCGTCGTGCTCTTGACTTTCGTAGTTGCTTTATTAACTTTCTGAGATCCGTTGCTTGCAGGCTTTGATGATGAAGAAGCTCCTCCTCCCTCACGCAATCCAGGATTCCTTTTCAGGTCATATTCAGCTCTCTTTGTCTTATCAGAGAAAACGGCCCAAGCCTGAGAAAGAAGCTTAAACGCTTCATCTGCTCCTACGCACTTGTTCTTGTCAGGATGAAGCATCACAGCAAGCATTCTGTAACGTTTCCTCACTGTTTCGTCGTCTGCTTCAGGGTTTATGCCAAGCACGCCGTAGTAATCTATCTCCCCGCATATGATATTACGAGCAGATAGATGTACACTAAATGTAGACACCATTTGTGCGATTCCATCGAGTTCAGGAGACAAGAACTGAGCCTTCATCGCGAATTTCCTTGCAGCCGAAAAATCGTTCGCTAGAAACCTCTTCTGTGCAATCTCTTTAGCCCTAATAGCCTCATCTTTATTACATTCCATTTCGAGTCTCTTTGAATTTAGACTTTCCTCTTCAAGATATCGACGAACGGAGAAGAGGTGTTTGGACTAAGAGCAGAAGTATGGAGTGACAAGACACCAATACCTGAAAATGAAAACCAAATCAGGAAACAGAAACGTATAGATAAACTTCAAACTGCAAGTATAAGCTGATAATGATGAGCGAAATTAAGCAATCAATTTATATTCAAAATGCAAAATGATCCTACTGCTCAAGCACAAAGACTACCAAAAGTGATACAATGGAACCTAAAACTATAAATAAAATAAGTCAGCAAAACCTTTATCATTAACTCACAAACATACTGCATTGGAGAATCTAGTGAAAAGGAAACGTAACCCTTCATCATTGAATAGACCAAAGTGTTATGGATATCATGAAAATTTGGACATGAAGTCAGCAATTCTAAACCTAAATGAATCCGCAGGGACATTGCTTGCAAATTCTGAACAATTCACTAAAAAAACATTCAAATTTTCCAGAATTCCAAGGTGTTCTTCAAAAACATCCTAAACCTTACATGTATCTGCAGGGACATTACTTGTAATTCTGAACAATTCAACACATATCACTGTAAAAAAAACCTACTCAATGGAAAATCAATGTATGTATATATCTCATCACAAAACACAAAAACGATCCTACTCAAGCACAAAGATTCCCAAAAGTTAAAAAACAAGTCATCATAACCTTTTTCATTAACTCACAAACATGCTGCATTGTAGAATCTAGTAATAAGTAAACGTAACCCCTCATCATTAAATCAACCAAAATGCTATTAATCTCATGACAATTAAGACATTAAGTAAACAATTATGTGATTCACAAACATCCTAAACCCTAAATGTATCCTAAGGGGGACATTACTTGCAAATTCTCAACAATTCAACATATATATCACTCAAAACCTTCAAATTGTCCAGATTTAAAAGGAATTCTTCAACGAAGTATAATCCGAGTGGGCATTAACACACAGTTGTAACCAAGGATCGGAACTTTAAGATGAAAACAAAAAACAGAAGCAAGGAGACGGAATCTTACATAGACGATTCCGGGGAAAAAGTGTACGGTAAAAGAAGGGTTTTGCTTCGTTTCCGGCGATACAGATTCCGAATTTCCGGGCGAATAGGGAATCAGAGTAGCAAAAGCGACCCCAACAGAGAATTTGGAATGAAGGGTCGCTTTCTACTGAAAATCGGCAACGCCTCGAATCGATGTTCCGTTAGTCACACTGCTCTGAATTTTTTGTTTCTTTTATGATTTCAAGTCGCGTCCTTGAATTTCTTTTGTTTTCCGACCGCTGAATTGTTTCATTAGTACAGAAGTGTATTTATAATCGTAATTGGAAATTAAGATAAAACACCGGTTTATGATTTGATTGGTTAATTAGGATACGGTTAAAAAAAATTTGTGGTCGAAAATTACAAGGGGGTACAATCTAGAATGCACTTTTATGGGATAAAATATTTATGGATGGTAATTTCTTTTATGTTATCTATAATATTTCACATGTAAAGTATTAACAAATGAAATTGTAGACTTATGATTTGATTGGTTGACTGTGGTTGAAAATTATATGCGTTGAATCTAGAATGTATTTCAATGGTATAAAATCTTTATGAATTGTAAAAAAATCCTATTTCCTCCTAATATTCACCCCTCATCATTAAATCAACCAAAATGCTATTAATCTCATGACAATTAAGACATTAAGTAAACAATTAAAAACAAATTCACGAGGTCTTTGAACCATCTCGGCTCACCAACGGCCACATAGGATTGTCTATGGTCTTCTTATGAAGCATTTTTATGCATTGACTCTGACCTATCTGCCAGGTATGCCCCTGAGCATTGGAATGTCCCGATCGGTACGTGTGAGAATACTTTCTCCTTCTTTCACCGATTTGAACTTCGCTGGCAAGAAGACGCAGAAAAGAAAGAAGTAGATGCTCACAAGAAAGTGAAGGAGGGCTCATTTTCTTGGAACATGGATCTACAAGTCCTTTTCACACACTGATAATGTTGATGGTGTAAAATATATTTGTGATAAAGCAGTAATTAAAGTCCATTCTCTATGTTAATGTATGTTTCGTTTTTGGGTGTAAATTCTTTGTTATTTTCTTCAGTTCTTATATCTCCTTTGGTTTTGTAACAAGTTGTCTCCAAATGTTGTGACAGATCTTGAGAAGAACCCAACAAAGATCAAGAAGTTAATGTATGTTTCGTTTTTGGGTGTAATTCTTTGTTATTTTCTTCAGTTCTTAAATCTCCATTGGTTTTGTAATAAGCTATTTCCAAATAGTGTAACAGATCTTGAGAAGAAACCCAACAACGATCAAGAACTTAATGTATATATAGTTTGTGGGTATAAATTCTTTGTTATTTTCTTCAATTCTTATATCTTCATTGGGTTTGTAACAAGTTATCTCCAAATGTTGTGACAGATCTTTCAGAAGAACCCAACAAAGATCAAGAACTTCGATTGGAATCTGGCAACACACACATATATACGTGCATAAAGAAAAAGTTCAAACAAATGCCGTTAAAACCAAGACATCAAAATTATAATATGTGAACTTCATTAAACATTTTTGGGCATATGAAAATATCACTAATCAAAAACATATGTTTAAAAGTTTATTATTACTCTCGACAGAATACGATTGAAAAACAAAAGATCCTGATTATTCCCTTTATTAAAAAGGTTAAATAACACTGCCCAAATCTCTATTTTCGATTAGCCATGCGGTTGTTCTTTTTCTTCCCAGTGAAGTTTGCTTGCGGAAACGACGATGAGGATGACGTTGACGTTGACGTTGACGATGACGTTGACACATCATTTCCTCCACGTCTTCTTCTTTCGAGCTCCTCACAGAGCATCTCACGAAACTCCATGAAGCACCTCAACAACTGCTTCCTCTCTTCGTCATTCTTCGGTTCAATTCTCCACCACCCGACAGTCTCCATCGTTATCGGCGGTTCCGGAGCCGCCGCAGCTGTATTCCTTCTCTTTCCCCCCATCAGATTGTTAATCTAGTAAAAAGGAAACGTAAACCCTCATCATTAAAATTGAGCCAAAATCGTTCAGGATATAATGAAAATTGATACGTTAAGGCAGCAATTATATCTTTCAACATGAACCCTAAATGTATACTCAGGGATATTGCTTGTAAATTCTCAACAATTTAACACATATATCGGTGGAAAAAAAAGCTACTCAATGCAAAATAAATATATGCATATATCTCATCACAAAATGCAAAATCGCCCTACTACTCAAGCACAAAGACTCTCAAAAGTGATACAAAGTTACTATTTGCAATTATAAATTAAACAACTTATCGAATTAAACCTTGATTTTCTTTTTCTTTTTTTTTTTCCAACTGCTTAGTTGATTCATTAGAATACATGTTTATTTATAATCATAATTGGAAAAGAAGATAAAACACATATGATTAGATTGGTTGACTAGGATAGTATTAATTTTTTGTGGTTATGTGTTCAAACTACAATGTAATACTATAGAATAATATCTTCATGGATATAGTAAATTTATTTATATTTCCTATAATATTCAGGTGTGAAATAGAAACAAACGAAATAATAGGATAAGATTGTTTTTTTGTAGTTGATATATCTAAGAATTTCAAATCTAGAACACATTTTAATGGAATAAAATCTTCGTAAATAGTAAATTCATGTATATTTCCGTAATATTCACCAGTCAAAATAAAGAGTTTTTGATGCCGTTGGTCCCTCTTTCTCTTTTACATGTTTGTATATTTATCCTTTCTCTTCAGTACGTATATTCCACATCTCCTTTATAAGTTGTCTCTTTCTCAATGTTTTTAACCCTTTTTTTTATAGGTTGGCTTCTTTCCTTTCTTTTATATTTTTATTAAAATTTCTTTCTTTCTTTCTTATTTTATTTTCCAATTATACATTTTTAAAAATTAAGCAAAACCTATAAATTAAATCACACAATTATTCTGCATTCTAATAAAATAATAAAAATATTTTATTAGTAAAACTATAAGATGATATGATTTGGTTTCAGCTTATAAAATATTAGGCGTCCCGTCCGCGCAAACGCCCAGGCATATAAAAATTTTAATAGGTTTGATAAAAAAAAAACAAAGTATAATTTTTTTAAATTATGAATTACTTCAATATATATGAAATTAGACTATTAAAAAATCTACTACTGATTGTTAATTTGGTATATATAAAAATCACATAGTTAGAGATCCACTTTGTAATGAAGTTGCGAAATATTCATTTTTTATGTAAAATTATGGTTATTAGTGAAATTAAGCCATCTGTTCTTATTTGCATATCAAATTATCATCAGATACCAAAAAATATCTTAAGGCTGTTTATCCAGAAATATCCAGAGTAAAAAACTAAGTAAATGATAAGTCTCCATATGTTTGTGGTCATTAGTAAAGTAAAATTCTCGTTTCTTCGTATTCATATTACATATTCACCAAATATAAAAATCTTACCTCAAAGTTGAGATTTTTAAGAATCAAAAATAAAGTATTCATATTACACAGTCACCAAATACAAAGATCTTACCTCAAAATTGAGATTTTTAAGAATCAAAAGTAAACACCACTGTCTCTTAACTGCCTCTTCTCTTTTTCAATGTAGTTCTTCTCTCTACTCGCTTGACCCAAAGCTCTCTTATTTTCCTCTCTGTTAAAAAGAATGAATCTTCCTATCACTCACTTATGCATTCACAATCAACTCACGATTCTCACCATGTACAACGGCAACTCTTGTAGCTTCTTGTTCTCGATAACTCTCTTTCACTTCCACATGATCGTTGCTTATCTCATGACCTCCTCATGCAAAGAGACATCTGGAAGACCATAAGCTTTATAACCGTGTTGTTGCAAAGATTCATAGTCTGGAAGACCATCTTAACTTTCTACTTGTCATTTTTCTTTCTCACAGTATCCATATTACCTGCGTTAGA